GGCGGTGGGACGTTCCCCCGCGGCGCGGCCGCCCCCGAGCGCGTGTGGACGCCCGGCTCTTTCCTTGGCGTCTTCTGGAGCATCTCGCCGGTCCTTCCACGTGGCCCGTTTTGCCTGGGCCTGCTGGGTTTCCCCGCCCGGCCGCTGGTTTGTGCGGCGTTTGTTTCTCTGCTGCCGGGTGCGAGGGGCAGTCAGCGTGGGTCTTCCCGGAGTAAACGGGCTGTTGTGCCACTGAACTGCGCTGTTTCAAACCTACAGAGCTCCTCAGGTGCCATATTTGCAAAGTATTTGTCTAATGTTTGCAAAATCGGGTTTTACAGCATTTCCCAGTGAGGACCACGTTTTACCACCTCTTCCCACCTCTTCGGACATAGTGCCCTTTCTTCCTTGGTTTAGTGATTTGTTTCCTTGGTCAACTCTATTACCCCCAGTGTTTTATAATAAACAATTTCATTGAGAAAAAGGAAAGACTTGTGCACTGAGCAACTTTATACCGACCCATTAACATTTGTTGGACTCACTATATCTCCTCTTTTTTTCTGTCAATCCTTTTATTCATTAATTCATCTTTTTTCTTTTTGGCTACTTTTCAAAGGAAGTCGTAAACATCACTATACTTACTCAAACACCTCATTCACGATGCTTAACTTGTATTAGAATTTCTGATTGCTTTTTAAAATTTTTGAAGCAAAATTGATTTATGGTGGAATGCACAGACTTTATGTAATTGGGTGAGTTTTGACAAATGTAATCCAAACCTTTATCAAAATTACCATCACCCCAGAAATGTCTCTTATTCTTTGCCAATTTAAGAAATTTGATTGTGAGGTACTTGGGCTTATAAAAATGTTTTAGGCAGCCAGATGCCACATGGCTAACAGCGCAATTCCAAACCCAGACTCAGGGCTTGAATACCAAGGTTTTGTCCCCCCCCCCCTTTCTATTGCTTGTTTCCTCTTTTTCCATCCAACAGTTTTGTTTTGTTAATAAGCCAGAGCGTGCCTGTGCTTGCTAGAGAGAGGAAGGAGAAAGCACCACCAGTGGGACATGGTCATGCCACACAGTCCTTTCTTGATTTCTCTACCCTGTTGGAATTTTGAGCATGCTTGCATACATACCTGGAATGTTTTTCATGTTGCTGGGGCCAGGATTTGAACATCCCTCTAGGTCATGTGAGATCTGGCTCCCTTAACCACCAGGCACTGGCAGCCCTCCAACTTTTTTTTTTTCCTTTTAAGAATCATTTCATTTAACTTTATTTATTTAATTTTAATTTTTTTTTTGGAGAGGTTTTTTTTTTTTTTTTTTTTTTTTTTTTTTTTTTTTTTTTTTGGGGGTTGTGTTTTCCCAGGGAAAAAAAAAAACGAGAAATCACCCCCCAGAGGGGATGGTCATGCCGCAATCCCTTCTCCTCCAATCTCCTCTCGGGACGCACACGTGCCCGGTGTGAGTTTTAAGCCACCGGGTCCGGGACGAGAACCACGGTCGACTACGTTGAAGTCCAGCGACATAGCCATTACGCTAACTGCTGGTTCCCTTTATTTTAAATTTTGACCACAGAGAGAGAGAGAGAGTGCAGGAAAATGAGAAAGCAAGCTGCCAGGTCCGGGATAGAACCAGTCAGCCATGTAGTAGTCCAGGGTCCTTAACCACTAGGCTACTTGCTGGCCCCTCCCTCCAACTTTTTATTTTGATGTTTTGCACCTACAGAAAAGTTGAAGTAAGTAATTTAATAAACACTTGTACAGCCATCCAGAGTCTCAGGGTCACACTTTGCCACTTTAGTTTTACCTTTCTCTTCTCCCTGCCTTAAATCCATGCATGCTGTTTTTTTTCCTATTTCATACACACATTTACACATGATGCACATGATATGGGTTGGTGTGATACAGACATGTATTTACATACATTTAGTCTTTTTATTGAATTACTGAAAGCATGTTATAGACATTGTGATACTTCACTATGAAATACTTCTGCCTGGATCTCCTAACAAAAAATATTCTTGAACAAAACTAATGTTAATTCACACCTAAGTACTTTATTATCATATCTAATATGAAGCCCATATATAGCTAGGTGTTTTTTTTTTTTTGGTATTTATTCTGATCCAGGATCCTGTTCAAGGTCATGTGTGCATTTAGTTATTATGTCTTTTTGTTCTCTTTCAAACTTGAATATTACTTTTTCTTTCTTTTATGACATTGATTTTCTTTGTTTCTTATGTTTTTGCCATAGGGTGTGTATGCTTGCTGGAGACAGATAGAGGGAAAATAAGAAGTCACAACCTGGGGTAATGGCCATGCCACAGTCCCTTTTCCTCTAGTCTCCTTTGGGATTTTTGGCACACATGCACATGTGCCTTGTGTGATATTCAAGCTGCTGGGTCTGGGACTTGAACTAGGATTGGTCATGTGTGAGTCCAGTGCCTTAGCCACTGTGCTCCTGCTTGCCCTGACAGTGATTTTTATTTTTTTATTTATTTTTTAAGAATTACTTAAGGGACCAGCAGACAGCATAATGGTTGCATTGCTGGACTCCCATGTAGTCGACTGTAGTTTGAATCCCAGACCCAGTGGCTTAAAACTCATGCTGGGTGTGTGTGTGTGTGTGTGTCTGTCCCAGATCCCAAGAGGAGACTGGAAGAAAAGGGATTGCAGCATGACCATCCCCCCTGGGGGATGATTTCTTGCTTTCTCTGTGTCTCTTTCTTTGTGTCTCCAGTGAGTACACATGCCCTGTAGTAAAAATCGCTCTTTAAAAAAATATATATATTTAGTTTTTTGGGACCAGCAAATGGAGTAATGGTTATATCACTGGATACCCATATAGTCGACCATGGTTCAGGTCCTAGACCTGGTGGCTTTAAAACTCATGCTGTGTGATGTGTGTGCATGCCCCAAATCCCAAGAGGAGAATGGAAGAGAAGGGATTGCAGCATGGCCATCCCCCTGGGGGTGATTTCTTATTTTCTGTCTGTCTTGCCAGCGAGCACACATAACTTATAGCAAAAATCTCTCTTTCTTAAAAAAATACATCTTTAATTTTATTATTTCTTAAATTTTTCTACAGAGCATGTGTGCTCATCAGAGAGAGACAGAGAAAAAGAGAGAGTGAGAAAAAAGTTACCAGGTCTGGGACTCCAACTGCAATTAGCTATGTGGGAGTCCAGTACATTAATCGCCATGCCACCTGCTGGCCCCTGGCACTGATTTCTTTAAAAATTTACTTTATTATTTGGGGACCAGGAGGTGGCATGGTGGTTAAGGTGCTGGACATTCCCACATGACCAACCATGTTTTGAGCCCCAGACCTGGTGGCTTGCTTTCTCACTTCCTCTCTCTCTCTCTCTCTATTTCTGTCCTCCTCTCTGGTCAAATTTAAATAAATGAATGAAAAAATAAATAATTTTTAAAAATTTATTATTATTACCATTATTATTATTTGACCAGAAAGAGACAGAGAGAGAGAGAAAGGGAAAGTAAGAAAGCAAACCACATAGGTCTGGAACTCAAACCATGGTCAGCCAAGTAGGAGTACAGGCCCCAACAGTGATATTTTTTAGAAGACCTAGCTGGCCATTTTGTAGATTGTCTCTCATTATTCAGTTGATTTTAATCATCATTAAATTCAGGTTCTTCATTTATGGCAGGAAATTACCTAAGTGAAATGATGTCTTCTGTACATTATCTCAGGACGTACACAATGTTATTGGTGGTCATACTTAGATTGTGTGATTAAAGTGCTGTTTGCCAGAACCTCCACTTTTTCCCCTTTGTAATTAGTAAGTTGTTCTTGGGGTGGTACTTTGAATTCCTTGCTATTTTTAAAAATTTAATCTTGGGAACCAGCAGTTAATGTAATGGCTATGTCGCTGGACTCCCACGTGGTCGACCGCAGTTCGTGTCCGGGACCCAGTGGCTTAAAACTCACGCTGGGCGCGTGTGCGCGTGTGCCCAAGATCCCAAGAGGAGAATGGAGGAGAAGGGATTGCGGCGTGACCATCCCCCCTGGGGGGTGATTTCTCGCTTTCTGTCTCTATGTCTCTCTCTGCTCTATGTCTCTGTCTGTCTGGCGAGTGCACGCGCCCTATAGCGAAAAACCTCTCCAAAAAAAAATTAATCTTTATTCATAATGTCTTATTTTAATATAATCAGATGTTTCAAGACTTCTTTATGTTTTGTACTGTTTCTTAAGAAACTATTCTTGAGGGACCAGCAGATGGAGTAATGGTTAAATCACTGGACTCCCATGTGGTTGACCATGGTTTGAGTCCTGAATCTGGTGACTTAAATTCATGCTGGGCACGTGTGCGTGTGCGTGTGTATGTATGTGCGTGCCCAAAATCCTGGGAGGAGAATGAAGGAAAAGGGATGGCATGGCCATTCCCCCCCCAAGGGGTGATTTCTTGTTTTCTGTCTCCCTGTCTCTCTTTCTCTCTGGCGTGTACACGCACCCTATAGTAAAAATCACTTTAGAAAACAAAACGAAAAGAAAAATAGTTCTTGGGGCCTCCTGGTGGCATGGTGATTAAGGCGGCTGGATCTCACATGGCCGATTAGGTGGTTTGAGTCCCAGACCCAGCAGCTTGGAAAACACACTGGGTATGTGTTTGAGAGTGCCAAAATCCCAAGAGGAGAATGGAAAAGAAGGGATTGCTGCATGACCATCCCCCTGGGGGATGATTTCTCTCTTTCTCTTTCTCTCTCTTCTATCTTGTGAATGCACCTTCCCTACAGCAAAAACTAAAAAAAAAAATAAATAAATAAAAGAGACTTTTAAGGTCTTCAATAAACTTTTCCAAGCCTTTGCCACAGATTACTATATAGTTTTTGGATTCTTTTTCTTTTTCTTTTTCTTTTTCTTTTTCTTTTTTTTTTTTTTTTTGCTGCAGGGCCATGCACTCACCAGAGAGAAAATGAGAAGTTACCCCTCAAGGGGAATGGCCACACTGCAGTCCCCCTCTTTCATTTTTGTCTGGGTTTTAGGCATACATGCTCATGTGTTCAGTGTGTTTTTAGAGCCACCAAGTCTGGGACTTGAACTACAATTAGCTATGTGGGAGCCAGCCACATTAACCACCATGCCAACCAGCTGGCCTTGTTTTGTATTTTGTATGGGGTTTACATTTTAAAAAATATATTTAGTGGGGTCAAGCTGGTAGCATGGTGGTTAAAGGCTCTAGACTCCTACATGGCTGCCTGTGGTTCAAGTCCCAGACCTGGCGGCTTGCCTTTTCACTTCCTCTCTCTCTCATACTCTCTCCTT